TGATTTAGCTAATGAAATTTTATTTCAATAACAATTCAATAATGTTACATCAAAATTGCAGTAGTTAGCACAGATTTTATTCCGAACAGTGTATTTTTTTCGGACTGAAAAGACCAAAATATGACGATAATGTCAATTCTTTTTTAGTATAAAATATATGAGAAGAAAATTCCAATTTCTAATTTTGCTTATTAATGAAAAATTTGGACATGCACGGAAACGCCCCAGACTAAAACATGCCATGCTAAATTATAGCAAGGACAAATTCCCAATTCAAATTGTATCTGGCTTGTGGTTGGAGGAATTAGGATTTTTAATTACTTGCACACAAACAATATTAATCCTTAGTAAAATGTTCTCGGCATGGCTAAAACTTGCACACGTTTTATTGCAGCTAATTATTTTAACCAAATGCCAATTTTTGACATCGAAATGGAATTATTAATGGGTCAGCAATTTTCAAATTAGTTTTATTGGAAAGTTTTAGTTTGAGGTTTATTGATGATGTGACTTATATTAAATTTCAGAGGCGTGGGGTTGACCTTGTTTGTAATATCTTGTCTCTTTTACAAGATTTATGCTGGTAGACGACACATTTATTAATTAGAATGGCTTGATCAGTCATTTATTTATATCAAATGGCAGGCGTCTTGATGGTTAGCATTAGCTCTTTAGTTGACTTCAGGCTTCGCAGAGGGAAAGGAGCATCAAAGTGAAAAAAGTCTAGACCGGGGGAGGGACAGAAGTGTGTTTCAAAGACGAAGGTAGAAAAAAGTTGAGGTGAGCACTTTGAAAGTAGTCGAATATGACATACAGTGGGGTGATGGTAGTTTGAAGTCAGAAGTCAACTGCCAGGTAATAGACTTTTGTGCCGTATGAGTATACATTGCTCAGGGTGCACCACGTGGAGGTAAGTCTATCGTGCACCCCGAGTTAGTCAATATTGTANAGAAAGTCGAATATTTACAGATAAATGTTTAATCATTGATAAATTTGTACGTAAGAGGAAGAAGAGAGAACCTGATTTAACTTTTACTTACTAGTCTTTGAAATGGTCTTATCGATATCCCAAATAGAATAGACTGCTGTGACGGAGGCTAGGATCTGTTGAAAATTTATTTATTAATATCAAATGGCAGGCGTGTTGATGGTTATCATTAGCCATTTAGTTGACTTCAGGCTTCACAGAGGGGAAGGAACATCAAATTAAAACAAGTCAAGAGGGGGGGGGGGAGAGGAAGAGAAGAGTGTTTCAAAGATGTAAAAGAGACAAACACAAAGGTAGAACAGAGGTGAGGTGAATACTCTGAAAATAGTCGAATATGGCATAGAGTGAGGTGATGGTAGTTAGAAGTGAGAAGTCAACTGCCAGTTAATAGACTTTTTTTGCCGTATGAATATACGTTGCCCAGGGTGCACCACATGGAGGTAAGTCTATTGCACACCCCGGATCTGTTGAAAATAAAAGGTTTGAAAGTGTCTTTCATTCATTACTAACTTTGGATCTAGCGTTTTGATGGAACCGTTACAATTCCTTCAACTTTAATGCTGAAAAAACCTCACTTTAAAAAATTGGATTGAGATATCTTTTTCATCTAAAGACTGAGTAATTTGTATTGGTTGCCTCAATATGGTCTCAATTTTTATGCCATTCCGAAGGGTCAGTTGAGCGTTCTTCGAAAACCTTGTCAAATGTGCGAGTCTGATGTCAAATCCGTGGAATGATTTAATAAAGTGCTAGCATTAGATTAGTGAATCTTGGCAATGGTTACATAAATATCAGCATCAAATGTTCCAGTAGCATAGTTCACCACTAATTCGGTGAGTAAAATCATGTCAATCGAATTTCTTTGGAGAATGTGCCGAAATGTTTTTGTCGCCTTAAGTGTCTAATCGAATTCTGGTTCCTTGATAATTTGTCGGGTTTCATCCACTTCGACCCCAAAGAGAAGACGTCAAGGGAGGGGNCTCGGCATGGCTAAAACTTGCACACGTTTTATTGCAGCTAATTATTTTAACCAAATGCCAATTTTTGACATCGAAATGGAATTATTAATGGGTCAGCAATTTTCAAATTAGTTTTATTGGAAAGTTTTAGTTTGAGGTTTATTGATGATGTGACTTATATTAAATTTCAGAGGCGTGGGGTTGACCTTGTTTGTAATATCTTGTCTCTTTTACAAGATTTATGCTGGTAGACGACACATTTATTAATTAGAATGGCTTGATCAGTCATTTATTTATATCAAATGGCAGGCGTCTTGATGGTTAGCATTAGCTCTTTAGTTGACTTCAGGCTTCGCAGAGGGAAAGGAGCATCAAAGTGAAAAAAGTCTAGACCGGGGGAGGGACAGAAGTGTGTTTCAAAGACGAAGGTAGAAAAAAGTTGAGGTGAGCACTTTGAAAGTAGTCGAATATGACATACAGTGGGGTGATGGTAGTTTGAAGTCAGAAGTCAACTGCCAGGTAATAGACTTTTGTGCCGTATGAGTATACATTGCTCAGGGTGCACCACGTGGAGGTAAGTCTATCGTGCACCCCGAGTTAGTCAATATTGTATAACTTGAGTCCAAAATTAGGAAGAGGAAAGCCCCTTTAATACCAAGATTCTGATCCCGAAGCTCCTTGAGATCTTCCGTTTTATTGTTTTTTTGGCGTTTCTTTTAACCCAACCAAATTGCTACCCACATTAAAAATTTTTTTGTTTAACTGTGAATAGTGGTAGCATTATTGGCCTTGACAACCTTGACATCACAACTCTGGGTTAAGGTTAGGCCGAATTTTTCATGGTTATTTGCTGGATGCACCAAATTAAGATGATGAAATGAAGGGTGGGTGTCACAGGACAATCTGCTCTAAGGGAAGCAGACTAAATGTGGTACGAAAATATGGTGAACGATTTCTCATTTCTTTGTTCATTGGATTCCTTGGAGCGAATATCAAGGATGTGGATGTCCAAGTGCTGAAAAAATTGAATTTTAGTTAATTAAAATTGAATCACAAAATTTGAATGACCGGAAATGGGAAAATATTGAAAAATTTTGTTAATGCATTTTTATTAAATTGTTTTTGTAAATTTCAACTATGAAATAAGCGCAACCTTTACCATTTTTGAGGTTCAGTTGAAGTGAATTTTCGGAGTCGATGTGGCACCCCAAATATAAATTCAGTAAGCAAATGTAGATACACTCAAGATTAAAGCGCCAACACAGATTTTTCCTTAAGTTTATGCTATTTGAGGCCGAAACTCCACTTGAAATGAACTGGCATTCGATAGTTTGAACTATGTTTTAACCACAAACGAATGGGAATGCTTGCGAATTACGTGAGCAGGTCAAGTGTGTTTAGACTCACGATTAGCACTTCCAACTGATAAGCGAGATTTCTTCAATGCTTGTCTACTGACAGTGACTCTTCATCTCTTGTCAACAAACTGTCAACCCAATTGATGGAGAGTGAAATAGATGAGAATGCATCGATTTGGATCACCAATAGTCCCACCTATGCGTCCAACCAATAATCACACAAATTCTATCAGTGGATTTAATTATGAGTGAATTAAAAGGTGAATTAAATTTTACACTATTTTGTCCTATAAATGAACTTATTTATGATTTACATTACTATTGTTGACATAAAGAAATAACGTGCCTAATGAGAATCAAATCGATGAAACGAAATGATAACTGGAAGGCCAAATTAGCGAATTCTCAGAAGCATCTGAGTGTTTGCTCCAAGAAGGAGATAAGCGGTATTGATAAGCGAAAATATGTGACTAAGCCGAAAAATGGTCATTTTATCAGACTCAATTTGAGCAGAGTGTTAGATATTATCGTCTGAATTTTCTTATGGACTCTGTTTTAAGCTAATTATAATAAACAGAAGTCAAAATGCCGAGTGATAGACTTTTTTGCCGTATGAAGATACGTTGTCCAGGGTGCACCACGTGGAGGTAAGTCTATCGCGCACCCCTAGGCCATTNGGGGGTAATGTAATCAAACGAAGCTTTTATCTATTTTTTTCTTCATTTTATATAAATAATTTATATGCAAATTTATGGCGCGTATTCCTCAAACTTTCTATTTAAATTTTTATTCATTACGCCATACTACATTTGGTCTGATTTGAAAAAAAATAGAATTTCGCACATATCGACGTGGGCTATCAAGGAATTGCCAAAATAACATGACCATAAAAGTTCGCTTATATATTTAATGCATAATGCTCTATAAGACGACTACCGTTAAAAAGATAGCATTTTATATATCTGCTGCTTCAGAAAAATGTAAACAAAAACAGTCCGTCAATGTCTGGAAACAAACTCATCAAAATCACTAACTAAAGAAAAGATTTTAATTAACTCCATCATATCATATCATATAGAAATATGAGGGATAAAAATAAATTATATTTGACACCTATGCACAGTTTAAAACATAAGTTAGAAATGGTATTCCAAGCATCACCCTAAAATATCTATTATATACCACTCAACGAAGTGCTTAATGTATTAAAACTTGTAAAACGAGGATCTCGTTAGGGCCCGCGAAATATCATTGGTCAAGGGAGCATTGCGCACAGCTGATGTCTTTGATGTCTGATTGGCTAAATCATGCGATGCGCATATGAATGAATAATTCATCAGCGCCAATAAATACAACGCATTAACGTACACTCGCGCACCATCGTTTAGCAATTTAGCGTTTGACTAAAGCGCAGAATTATCGCACGCAGTAGTAGTAGTTGAACAGAGAGTGAGACAAACGCAAGCAAAGAAGATCAAGCCTGAGCACATACGATTGTGAATCGAACGTATATACACACCCACCTACCCAAGCTTATTGTGACTCGTCTTGTGAGTTAGCGTTTGTGTTGTGTGGATGAAAGTTACCTGTGATCAGCCTCTGTTGGCTTTTGTACACGAAAACATCCCCCCGTTAGGGCATGCTATGCCCTAGAAGTCTGTGGATTATATTTGGACCTCTACAGGTGAAACGAAATCAACTCTCTGTGAAGATGCAATCGGAAAAAATACCATCTTCTAGCCAAGTCTTTCCTCCCTCCTTCCTTAAGTCAATCAACAAAAATCGACTTTCAATCTTATCCTCCCGTGGACTACGTATTCTCCTTCTACTCACTATTCTTCTTACCGAACTATCTCCGGCGGGTAAGTAGCATCCTCTTTCTTAATGGAAGTTCTGAAGTGAAGGAAACGGTGGCGATTGGGCACTAGCTATGATAGATTTCCTCGACTTTGGAATCTACGCCAAGACGTAGTCCGTTAATCTACCCAGTTGGAATTTTTCGCATGTCCTTAAATAGCACACACACTTCGGCAGCAGTAGCCGTATTTCTATTAGCAGTTGAAGTTTCTCCTATGTTCCCATAATTGCACCGCTCCAATAATTATCCAGGGGGGGGGGACTGTTAGGAAGACGTGGGGCTCTTTATCCGAATCTATTTAAACAGTCCTTTTTGATTCGAATTAGTGAAAGGAAAAAATTCATTAAGTTATACGTATGTATGCATGTATGTGCGGATCTACAGAGATATTACACTTACTTCAGGGATTTTAATGTTTGTAAGGCCTTCGTTTCAATTGATATTGAGGACTTTTGGATTTTCATGTTCCTCTGAGAGTGGTTGATAACTGAGCTCGAAGATTTTTTTTTAATCAACTTTTGGTCCAAAAATCTTTCCCTTTTAAACCAGACAAACAATAAGGTATGTGCAATAGCTTAAGAAACGAATAACCAATCAGTCCCTTAATGAATTGTTGTCATCTTTTAATTAACCCCACCCCCCAGCCCCGCCACATTTTGCTATCTAGTGGAAACATTACTTCCATTGTTTTCTCCTGAGTTTCAGAGGTGTGTTTGTGCGTGTGTGTATGTGTGTGTATGGCAAACAGCTCAAAATTGCGCTTGTCATTGATACTTTACTGGCATTTTGTGGATTATTTTTAATGTTCTCTGTTTTAACTAACTACTTCACTGATAATAAGGCATTAATCAGTGTCTCACAAGGTCATTGAAGTCATGTTTACCTTCCTAATAAAAGTGGTGCAATTGCATCGATAATTGGAGTTCACTTTGAACTTGGCTGGAGCATGTGCTTGTGTTTTTTTCTGTTCTGCATTTTAATTCAAATTACCAGACACAGAGATCGAGAGAGAGAGAGAGGGCGCTAGGTAGGCACTTCCGATGCAATATTGTACACTAGGCCTCTCCGGTAAACAAATAACAAAATACAAACGTGAATAGTCATATTTCGCGGTTGCTAATTAGAGTAGGAAAGTCTCGTATTCAAGCGTCCTTAATCATGCCTCGTTAAATGTGTGCACATTCTCATCGTTCTCCACGAGGGAAACATCAGTTATCCAAGTGGACAGGTGAATAAGCGCTGTCCATCTTTGATTTCGATGGAATGGCAAGAAAATGCCTCTGTTGCACAATACTGATCCACTTAAATTACTATATACTTGTGCTGTTTCAGTGAGAGCCACGTTGGGTGCCTTAAAGCGTGTTTGCTTACAGTCATAATTCTCTGGTGGCAGAGGTAACAGTAGCGGCTTATATTCAAAGCCCTATCTCTTCAAGCTGCGCGTACGCAGCTGCCTGTAAAAGGAGGCCCATTTGCCGAGGGATTTTCGTAAATGTCATCACATAAAGGGACCCAGAGGGGGGGGGGGGGGGGGGGGGGGGTAGGGGCAGGGTGTCAACGTAATGGAAATTTAACTGGTTAAGGAAATCTCATTGCCATGCGTAATATTACAATGCTGGGTTTCGAACTCGCCTTATTTGATCCGATAAAATAGTTCGTATAACCTAAATTTTTCCCCCCTATGTCTCGCCTACTTTTACAAACTTGGGTTTCAATTCATGTGAATGCCAAATTATTTTGTATGGAAGAAGAAAATGCATAATTTCTAAACACACTTCAAGGTAGATTTCTTGTCATTATAAGAGCTATCGACACTCATTATAAGTATAAGTAATTAGCCATTAATACTCCTTATGCAAAGCCCCCATTGAAGTTAACTTTAGACCACTTGGAAGGCTATAAAATCTCATAATCAAGTTATCTAAGCTTTGTTTTGCTTCGAATGCAGGTGTCTTCCTCTCAGCACATCTTCAGATTATGATATCCGGGAGAGGAGAATGTGAATAATGATAAGTTATGTATTTAGGCGAATCTATCTATTTACTATCAAGTGATTGGTTGAGTCGTCTACCAATCAGTTGACTGAATAGGTTTTAGCCCGATATTATTAATGCCTAAGATATCCACCACATGTAAAAGGTGTATTTAAGACAGTTGTATGCATTATCAGCAGTAGTAAGGGCAAGAAAGAGCATGTCACACACAACTGTTTTCCCTTGTCATGTAGCAATGACGACCGCGACGACGACGACGACTGTGCATGTGCCGCTGAGGCGTTCCTTGACCACATCGTCATCGACATGTGCGTGTGTGTCTGTATTTTGATGGAATTACCACTTTATTTACCCAGTGATGATTGCCAGTTACAAATTTCTGGAGTCTTTGCTCCTCCGCACACTCTTACCCATTTCCTGCGTGTGTGTGCGCGCGTTTCCTTTCACTCCTTCTGGTTTCTGGGTGGATTGGCGTTGGTTAAAATTGGTGTCACACAGTGTAGATAAACATTGATGTAAACGTACGCACGTGGATTGAAAGAGAGCAAGAACTCCGCAAATGGTGGACGACTGCTACTACTATTACCGTTTGTGTGTCTTTTGGATAAACAAACCCTCTGATAGGCTATTAGGGGTTAGTTGGTTGGTAGATAGGTCGATTAGTTGGTTGTATCAAGAGGCTAGGATGCGGCTTAGCAATCCTTTGATTGACTGGTTCAACCGACGTTTGATTTGGCGGCAGATTTTGGAAGAGTGTCTGATGATCCACCTTTGATAATCACAAAACATTTTATTATTATTATTATATCAAATAGCGTCCATTTCAAAGTATTATTATTATATCAAATGGCAGGCGTTTTAATCATTTTTATTATTATATCAAATGGCAGGCGCTTTGATTTATCATTAGCCCTTTAGTTGACTTCAGTCTTCACAGAGGGGTAGGAACATCAAAGCGTAAAAAATTCAAGAGGGGGAGGGGACAGAAGAGTGTATCATAGACGAAGGTAGGTAAGGTGGAAAAAAGTTGGGACGAGTACTGTGAAAGTAGATGAATATGAGATACAGTGGGGTCATGATAGTTTGAAGTCAACTGCCAGGTAATAGACTTTTTAGCCGTATGAGTATACGTTGCCCACATTCAGAGGTAAATAAAGTTCTAGCTAATAGCTACTTTCTGATTATTGAAGCATTTTATCTCAGACGCAGAAATTTTACTTTTTCTGTTATCAGTTGATTTCCAAGTACTGAAATTCGTATATTTTAGGTCCTGAGGAGAAGAGAGGTGGTAATACGAAGTTATTTATTTATTTATATTAAATGGAAGGCGTTTTGATAGTTATCATTAGCCAGTTAGCTGACCTCGGGCTTCAAAGAGAGGAGGAGGAACATCAAAGGGACAAAAAAGTCGAGGGGGTAGACAAACTAATGATTCATAGATTTAAAGGAGACAGCCAGAGAAAGGGTAAGATAAGTACTGTAGAAGGGGTCGAATATGACTTGCAGTCGGGCCATGGTAGTTTCAAATCAGAAGTCAACTGCCAGTTAATAGACTTTTTTTGCCGCATGAATATACGTTGCCCAGGGTGCACCACATGGAGGTAAGTCTATCACACACCCCATCACAAAACATAGATATCAGAAATTTGGACTTAGCGTTCTAAAGGTTCACCGGAGTCCAATTAGTTGATATAGTAAGAGATCAGATAGGGTTGGGGTAGACGAACTGGTAATCTTTTCAATCAACGGTATTTTCAATTTGGTTTAATACTACGCCATTCGATTACGCCTTATTTCCTTGTTGATTTAACAATACCAGACCCAAATTTGATAATGTAAAGCTGTGTTTGGGTATTTTAAAGAGCTCGATGGACTGACTTCTAACAAACCTGGCATCGACCTTATTCTTGGAAATGTTCATTTTATGAGCATCGAGACGCCAATATTAACCCTCTATAAGCGTATACAAATTTATGCATAAATTGGCCAGATTTACACTTTCGAATTTACAATCACTAACAAACTATAAAATCCTTCATCTAACACAGGAACCCCTGAGTGCCCGGAATTTCAGAGGGGGTTATTCAAATACGAACCCCCTTTGGTAGCTAGAATTTCGGTAGACCCTGGCGATTGGTCGATAAACATCTGGTTGTTTGGCCGGGGGTGAAATAAACCAAGTTACTTTCTTTCCATCGTTTTTTTCAATCTCATATTACTGAGTGGTGATATGATATTTAGTTGAAGATTAACCTTGATGTCGATGATGTCGATGATTAATAAATACGCCTCCCTCAAACCCAGGTGTAAAAACGCGTGCGTACAAGTAGAAGTAGTGATGTGCGTCGGGTGGGGTAGAACTTCACGTATACATCTGTGTATTACGCATGAGTGAATGGAGAATGAGAGAGAGAGGGAGAGAGCCAGAGCCTTTGTTCATTCTCTCGCATATTCGAGTTATCAACTGACCTATAGAATAGAGACGTCCTCTTCCCCCCCCCCTCCTCCCCCCCACTAGCATGTACCCCGTACCTCCTAATTCTATCAAGAAAACCATTATCTGGTTTCGTTCTAATGTGTGAAACGGTTAATATGTTCGCCTGAGTGATCTATTTATTATCTGTCTGATTCTAAAAGACAGACCCGTCCCATCAACAATTAGCCAGTCCTTTAGTATGCACTTAATGATGTCTAAGGAGCAATAATAGGGGTCCTGGTATGTTGACCAGCTGATTGATTGATAGAGAAGATAAATCAGGAGAGGCGCTCATTAATTTTGTAATTAGTGGTATGGAGGGTGAGATTTTGATGAAAATGATGATGATGATGTAGTAGCCATGTTGAGGAGAGCTGGAGAGAGAACGACGATGGACCTAGAAAATGCGCAACAGGTGCGCTGGTTTAGAAGTGGGTCACACACACACACACAGGCATACACGAACGGCCCATCTAGAGCCGACCTAGAAAAATCCACTAGCGTTTTCCCTTTCTGCAAACTGTCATCATAACGCTCCTTCCACCTCCCTTCTTGGCTATATCTCCGTTTGTCCTGCAATCCGTCCAGATCGAATGCTTTCAAATGACGCGAGTTTGTCGTAGTTGCCCCCAGCAACTGCAATATGCGTTCATTTCTGTTTAAGAATGAGGTTATTTCAATTAATTAAACCTCGAGAGCACGCTTTAAACATTACGTGATAAGTTGGTTCTAATTTCCGAAGAAATTGATATTAGAAGCAATCCTAGGAATGAGCAATTAAATTAATTTTTTTGTGGCATTATTTGCCCATTCAATAAATATTGCACAACTTGAACTCTGAAATCAAGTGAAGTCAAACTTTTGGACACCTTGAAGTCGGTGAGAAGGTCACTGACATTCTTCTCCCTACCCGTGGTCGGACTTTCTGTGTTATCTGATTTCAGTTGGTTCATACAATGAAACATTAAACAAGTTTTATTTCGAGATTTAAGCTCAAAACTCGAAATTAAAGCGGGATTTTTTTGATTTCTGGTTCAGTGAGTTTTATATTTGAAAATAAAAAGCAAATGGAGAGCTTTCTTGGTTAATATTTCACCTTAAAAATGATCATATTATTTCCTATTTCAATTTATTCTGTTTTATTCCATAAATGTGCACAAATTCTTCATTTCGAAGTTAACTAAGCATTTAAAGAAGCCAATTCTTCAACTGTAAATTATTTGATATTTAGCATTCCAGTAAAAAATCACCTTATGCATAAATTTGCCAAGGTTTTGCAGGAAACATAAAGCCAACAAATATGCAAGTTGAAACTTTTGACTTCTTGTCAGTTAGTTGTCATTATTTCACAAACTACGTGTATATCCATAACGCTAGAGGCAAAATTGTCTCTTCTCTTTACTTTTTTTTGTTGCGTATTAATGGACGGAGGTATAAAAGATTGATCTTTTTCTTTAAAAAAACGGTATCTGATTTCATTTCACTCACTCATGGTTATCAAGATGTTTCCGATTTTGGAGGGAGAAAATTGCGTATTGGCCGTCCATTCAATAGAGTGATATTTTTAGTGGAAATGGTTGTTTCTTACAATGGACAGGGAGGGGGGGGGGGGAAGGGCTAACTTAGGCTCTTAAAGGCCAAATAATGGCTTATGAGGGCTTTTTGAACATAAGGTGATAATACCATTTTTTAAGTTTTTGTTTTACAGGTTCTGTGGTGAGCTAGTATCGATTCCTCTGAACTGGTATTAACTTGAAATAAAAGTTATACTTCTACTCACTAACCTGAACGTTCATTTCCCTCTTCGATTAGGCATAACCTATTCTAACATGAATGCACCTCATAAAACCACTTCAGTGAAGTCATGGTAAAGCGGTGTATCCCTCTCATTCTATTGAATGGGAGGAATAACGCGATTTAGGAAGTGCTAGCCTCAAGTAATAAAAAAGTACTGCCAAGTCAACGATAGTAGCAGCAGAGAGTAGAAGAAACAACAAAGCATACGGAGGGCGCCACTATGGGGAAATGCATTAATCATAGAGAACAGACCATCAGAGTCCTTCCTATTGTGTGTTCCACCGTTGTATGAGCAATTTGGGAGGAGGCGGAGGGAAGAGGATATTTGGTGGTGGTGGTGGTGGTGATTAATGCATGTTTTGGATGCGTGACTACTATTATATTACAGCTATTCCCTCTTCTTCTCCTTCATCTTCTTTCTCTCCTTTTTCTGCCAGACGCCACTAGTAAAGCATGCGATACACAACCCTGTAAAAACGGCGCAACCTGTCGGGAGCGTGTCATTCCTCAAAGTATATACTTCGAACCCCAAAGTCACCTCCCTTATGAATGCGATTGTACATTCGGTTGGGAGGGTGAGAATTGCACGGTGAACGTAGACGACTGCAAAGGCAATCCTTGTCTCAATGGCGGCCAATGCGAAGACAAACCCAATGCTCAATTTGTCTGCCATTGCAAAGATGGCTTTATTGGTAAGATATTACTTATGAGAAAGGCAGTATGTGTACGTACAACAAAACTAGGAATCAGAATCGCTAATCCTAGCTCTCATCCATTTGAAATAAAAAAAAATATAATCAAATTATTAGCTCTAAAGTGCAGGAAGCTCTCTAGTGCGACTATTCATGAACTTCCTGATGGCAATACTTTCAGCACCCCTCTATTCCACTGAACATAAAGTAATTCGATGAAATGTAAGATGTAACACCGAATTTTCCCATCAAATTGGTGAACCACGCAACAAATTTATGTCAATTAACTTGGCACCCCCCAGAAATTATCCCTTTCTCACGAATTCTTTAACCTGTTGAGTTCTACGGTTCCATTTTTTTAGATAAGAAAGACCAATTATGACTGTCAATCTTTCTGTGTGCTGAAATCTTTTTAAAATATTATGCTTAAATGAAGAGACGTATGCTACGCAGGGCTTAGAACTCTTAAGGGACAGCGATAGTACTAAGAAGTTGTTTCGTGTTGTAAAGCATTTTGACCAATAACGTCTTTCCCTCCTTTTGAATAAAAATCTTTTCCCGGCACTGAGTGGTTCAAACAAGTTAAATCGACTGTCATCTCCCTCCCCCCCCCCCGACACGTTTTGCTTTGAAGTGGACTACAATTCTCACTCCGAGTCCATTTCAAGAATCTGGCAAATCGATAACTGAATGCGGAAGGTTTATGTCTTGAAATCCGATTTTGGAGCACATGAAGACAGGGAGAAGAACTGCCCGTAAAATTCCGAGTTGCCGATTCTTCTGAGTAGTTTAGGATACAGGAAGGGAAGCTAGTATCCAAATTTCAACGTTAATGTCTCGATACATTCATTTTCTTCTTCCATGCCATTTGATCAACAAGCAAGTTAGAAGATTACTTTTCAAGCACTAAGTGGTGTGCTCATCGGTGTGCAGATGTCTTCCAGTTAATTTCCTCTAACTATTTTTTTCCACGAGATATTCAAGACTGGAGATTCAATGTCACGTCGTTCTCACGATTGTCATTTGACATTTGTCGTTAATAAGTGCTCAAACCAGCCATTCCACAGGTGGTCAGCATTCAGAACCACCTGTAATTGATTCTCATGATAGTTAGTATCTTCTTTTTTTGACAGGGACTATTAGTACGTTAATCGAATATTTGTTCCTAGTTTTCTTGCTTAGATCTGCTTAAGTTGCCAATGGATTCATTTAGCAGTGCTTGGTTAAATTATTGACAACTTTACATGAGCACAGAAGCAGTAACTCATTTTGTGAAATATTAGTAAAAAACACCAAGTAATTTTGGTGAATGACATTTGTAATCGATCAATCGATCAAGTATGAAACGTACATGGAGCCTGGAATAGTGAGTCACATTGTCCACTAGCCAAGGTACCCAGTTAATGAGCTAATTGATCCCTATTAACTCTTAACAAACCTTATCCTTTTCTTATGTACTTGCACATTTTGATGTCACAGGCCAATTTAAAAACGCTCATTTCATTCATTCATACCTAACTAATTTATTTGACATTATAGGTCAGAAGTGCGAATTCCGGGATCCTTGTGCTGACTTTCCATGCCAGAACAATGGCCGATGCGATTCCTCACCCCTTGGAGTCTATCAGTGCATTTGTCCGCGTTGGTATGAGGGACATAATTGTGAAAAAGTAAGTCACACAATTTCTGGTCTTACTTCAAACTCGTTGCACTTGACACCTATCTTTCCTCCCCTCTCTCATTCCTGATTTACTTCACAACATGTTGATTTAATGCCATTCTCAGGCTTGATAAATGCCTGTACGCCTCTATTAGCTGATTAACGCCCCGCCGAACCATACGATCCTCTTTCAAAGTAAACTCCATTGGTACTAGACGCGTGACGGAAGACGCTATTTCCATTTGAATAACATGTTCAATCCCTCTATAGCTTTCGTCTGATACCACCAAAATCCTATCAGGTTTGCATCAGTCTGCTGTGAGACATGCGTAAGTGCGGTTGGGATGTATCTTTCAAGAAAATGATTCAGCCGTTAAAGGGTTAAGAAATTGACCACAAGCGTCTGAATGAACCAGAAATGCTCGTGGTAAACTTCATATTTACAAGACACGCCTAAAAAATTGCAACACACAGAGGCATGTAGGATATATTAGATTGATATCTATATCCAACCATCGTTTCATGTTCATTCAAGCTGAATTGAGACCTTTGAAAGTCAGACATCATTAGCGTTTCTGTTGCTGCCATATCAGTTATCTCCACATAAACACTTAGCACTTCTGCTGTTCCCCCCTTCCTGCTAACGAGCATCCCATTTTCAGACATTATTTATAACCTGCCTCCACATTAAACTTTGCGAATAAGCAATTCATCGAGGGGAAACAAATAACACGCTTTTTATTTTTTGAAATTCTAGGCGAAAATGCCCTGCGAATCAAGCCATAACCAATGTCGCCATGGCAAGTGTGAGACACTCTATGAAGTCTACGAGACTCGAGCGCAGAATAAACCCAAGACAGCGTCTCGTATCTCGGGTTTTCGGTGCAATTGTGAACCTGGGTGGACAGGCATATTTTGTGATCGACCTTTTGATATCTGCCAACACCACCAATGCCAAAATAATGCCCAATGTGTTAGCTTGGGTGATCACTATGAGTGCAAATGTCCTACAGGTTGGTTTCTAACCTTGAAGTTAGGCCTTATAGTTGGTTTTGCATTTATCTCTATGTAGAGTTTATTTAATATATCTGTGGAGACACAGTGGTTAATGGAATTGTCCATTTAGTCAGAGGTTCTGGGGCTTGAAAACCCCTCGGCACACGTCTTGTGTGCGAAATTCAATTTGCTCTGTGTTGCTAACAGTCTACTGGAAATGCGCGTAGAAAAACACATTCCTAAATGAGCTTGGAAGTTATGACCTATCCGCTGTGCACAATGCAGGAAATGAGCTGTTTGCAATCTTTCGCTGAAGAGGTACTGAAAAAAAGTGCTTGCGGCTTCGTGAGTACAAAACGCTTCTCCATTGAGATAAGGACAATAGTTTATCCGGTTGGCTTTTCACAAGAAATTTCCCAGACTCAGATCCGAGGTCCAAATAGGTCTTTTAAAAAGCGCTGAGACGTTGAGAAAAGGTATTGTGCTGACAAGGCTTCACCTTTATACCCAACCCCAAACGTGTTTCCGGTCCGATTTGTTGCGTGGGAAATTAGGAGATTTAAATAAAATGCTATATTTCGTATGATTATAACACTATCTTTCACGATGAAACGTTTAGGCTTTGGAGGTGATCTATGTGAACGAGAAAATAGTCAATCAACTAAGAAGCGTGGCACTCAAATCGACATGGAAGAACATTGTCGACAACTTGGATGCACGAATGAAACTAATGGAACGTGTTCTGGAAGATGCGTTCAAGCTGGATGCTTCAATCAGGAACAATTAAACGCTTGTAAAGATTGGATCGATTGCCTGGAAGCGACGAAATTGGAATTTGGTGTCGGCCAACCTTCTTGCGTGGAACGGTACCGTGATGGTGTCTGCGACTATGAGTGTGCAATATCCAGCTGCTTCTACGATGGCTTTGACTGCACAGATTCGGGGTAAGACTTGTAGACTTGTAGCCGCCTTATAGTCTTTGTAAACTTTTCAAATCAAATTGACGATTTACTTTTAAACTGTGGACATTCAATTCAGCCAAATAGGCATCAATGAGTGTTTATTGTGTATCGACCAAATGCCTAAGTTTTTTGTTGATATCTGACTGTGTAAAGCTAATACTTATGGCGGTAAACAAAGTTAATTTCAAATCACAGCGGGTGATAGGCAGCATCTCTCTCTCTCATAAGCATTAGAACTCTACACAGGAGGAGATAATTCACAGCGGGAATGGAGAAGCCAATATTTGAGTTGATATCAGCGTGCTTTGCTTCTATTTTAAACTTTCCGCCAACTTGAGCTTGTTGAATTCCACTCCAATTATTACTCAGATACAAAATTATTGTTTATTATTCAAACCATAAGTTAGGCTAAAGTAGCAGCTATACTTTCCAGAGATTTGATAGGCTCAAAGATAAGTCAATAAGACGTTTCCTTTAATCCACGGGTAAGAATCCTACATATGTACTTACTGGTATGATTTGATTATTGGTTGCATAGCATTGAAGGGAACTCTCGATTCAAATGAACGCGGTTTTTCATGTCCTCTGTCTAGACTCCATTAGGTCCGTTGTCAAGACTTGAATTCCCCCCTCCCCCCTCACCCGGTTTTATTATCGATGATCAATGTGTCTAAGACGGACAAAGAGCCCCACCCCTCATATTATGCTTGTTTAGCTCTTTCCCATTGGCTAGTTGCAGTTGGCCCAACTGAATTTGCCATTGTGATAGTTCTAACAGTGTCTTGGCCACTTCATATCCAACCCCTCACCATTGGAACACTTGCTAGGTCAGAGGCCATCTCAACCATGTTAACAAGATAGGAAACTGGCAGAGTAAGGTTCGGAATTTTGTTTTAAAATTTGTTGAGAACCGAAGGAATACGGCTGTCGTGCAATCATTAAGTCGTAAATATGACTACGTTAGATGGTAGAGTTAAAAAATCGGATACTAGAAATGTAGAAATTAATGAACGAATGGAACAAACGTATAAAGTAACCTAAAAATGAGAATGCTTCAGAAAATGCAAATCATTTCATCTAAGACCAGGTCGTGCACATGATTAAACAGTATCAACTTATAATTCTACTTAAACATGTGGTTATTTCACGCACATTCGTCACCCATTCGTCAATGGTCTACTAGATTGACGACAGGCACAAAATTCCAACCTAATCTTTAAATATTCTTCTAGGCGTTGAACCAAGTGATTCTTGTGGATGAATTCATTGCGAATGAATTACTGCCAGTTGGAATACTCCTGGAGTTGGGCATCCCATGACATGCACATTTGTGAAAGCAGAGGACACAGGTTCGACTCCCTACGATGTACACCTGATGAGCTGAATGACCAATCGGATTATTTAGGGTTGGCTAATTCGATCTTAGGTAGGACTGGTGCATTACACCAGAGAGTTCCCTTTTAAAGTAGGGCAAAGAAAACGTTTTCTTAACTGTCGATAGGCAGCGACTTCAAACTTGTGGGCAGTATAATTTACTTGAAGGCAATAACCCCTAAATGTTTATATAGTTGGCAGGAGGTCCAAGAAGGAGGGTTATGCTGTCACACTGAAGATGCAAGTCACTTTTTCATCAAATAGCGCTGTGTTATTGGTATTATTGGGGGGGGGGGGGGGGGGGGGGGNGGGGGGTTGGTCAAATAATCACTTATTGACGGCCAGTGGGGAGTGGGCTGTGGGCAGTGCAGTGGTGTCTGTTTTTCACACGGCTTTTTGTAGGTGTGTATGTGTGTGTTCATAAAACATTTCTTTTCTTGCTATTGCTTGAAAACAAACTAGTCGAAGAGGTGCTGGTGCTAAGACTGGGCAGAGGTTGGTATTTGGCGGTATGTGCGCTGCTATTTCATAGCCAGGCAGACTGGGCCATTCGTTCGTTCATTCGTTCACTCATTCACCTCACTTTGCAACTATTTTGCCTCAGTGCTGGTTTGAATGAAAAGGGAATGAATATATGCATGCTTTTAATCATAGATAATCCTTAGTATTACATTACTTCGATGTGAAATTGTCGTTTTAGTCCACGCAATCGCTGACAACGCCCAACTGTTCAGAATGAACCTCTTGATCAAAAGGATCGTATCGAACTAACTAATTTGACAGGATGCGTAACCTCCATTTAAGCATTTGGTTAAGGATTTTGAAAGGGAAAAATGAAAATGCCAGATCTTAAAATGGTTTGACTGACGTCTATCGTCTATTTTGTCATGAACACCTTCATGAGTCGACGTAGTCGAAAGCACTCTATTTCCCTTCGAGCTTAATTTAAAGGCCTCTAAATAGCTGTTACACAAGATGTCAATTTTCCTTCGACTGGCTGAAATCTAGCATTTTATTGATTTGTTTCAAGTCCGTAGCACTTTGTGCTCTTTGAAATTGATCGCGTTTTACATAGCGGATATTGACGACTACCACAGTTTTAAGGATGACGTAAGCTTGTTTGATTGGTAGCTAGTACAAACCAATCAATTTGGCTTAATTAAATGACTAGCGAAAAAATATTGAAGTATTTTCAAAACGTTAAATGGTAAATGGTCAAATTAATCAAATTGTCATTCAGAAATAAAATTTAATAAGTAAATGTTATTTTAAAAGGAAATGAAATAATAGTGCGAATTTTTTGTGCCTTTTCCTTGGCAATCAGTAAAAACTTCTAGTATATTGAAAATTGCCTTAATATTAATTGCATCTTTGGTAGCGACAGTTCTCACACAGAAGTATCTATGTGACATTTGGCCGTTACAAGTATTTGATTTATGTCGTATTCATAGACCGGCTTCATCCTCATCATCAGAGAAATGCCAAAACACTAATGGAAGCAAGACAAATAAAGACACGACATTTCCCGTGACAGTTATGTGGAAATTATAACTCCAAGTCGTTCATTAAAGCAAGATTTTTAAGAAAATTTCAGTACCTAGTACCCACTAAAGGCATTTAATGATATTCAGGTTGCTTATAGTTTTACAATTCTTTCCGAAGTAGGTTGCACGTTCATTGGTTTAGTGTGCCTTATGAGCAAACAATTCATCTGCAATGGCTTAGTCTGGTTCGCAAGATGGCGGGTTTGCAGAATTTAGTTTTTCTAACATGGCGACTTCGTAATGCTACTTTTGTGATCACGAAGACTGTTCCCAGGTGATCATCAAGAGGGAGGGGAGGGGAGTCAAATTATGCGTTAGTTGTTAGAATGGCTTCGGGACATCTCCTCTCTACCCTTGTTACTCTCTAATATACAGGGAAAGTTTTCTAAATGAACTTCTGAGTTGTATTATTGACCTTGAAGTGAGTCATCCGACTAACCTGATTTATAAAGCGAGGAAATTTAATGATATCAAATATCCTTATAGCTCCTAATACCGGGATGGCGTTTATGCCTATTGATTTAAAATTAATCAATCCTGGGTGTTCATTTTTCATTCTAACTGGAGCACTTAATTATAAGGAGGCAAGCAAAAGTGCATCTTTCTCTCTTCAAAAACAACATATTAGGTGATGAATGCTCTTCCACCAATCCAATCAATTCACTGTTAAATCAACATGGTGAACGGATTGAGGATAATAATTCAAGTGCAAGCATTAAAAAAAGCTTCAAATCGATCCAATTATCATATAAACTTCTTCCTTGGTTGAAAAGTATCGTAGAAGTTACGCGAATTGCATAGCAGTCAAATGGATTTTGAACAATATTCTGTTTCCATCCTTTCAAATCCGCTCCAACTTTTCGAGAAAATAATCACACTGATGAAGTTACTAAATAGTATTTCTCAACTTTCAGGTCATCATGTCCTACCGGGGAGTTCTGCACTTCAGTCTACAGAGATGGAACATGCCATCCAGAATGTAATATTCCTGTGTGCGGATTTGACGGTGGAGATTGTCTGAATATTCCACATCCGCTTCAACCTAAAATAGATAACATCCGAACCGGTTACATCGGTCTAGTGCTCGATACAAATAAAACCACATATTTAGAGATGGAAAGGATTATCCAGGCTCGTATAGCTGATGTTTTAAGAGCAGTTGTTCGGCCTGCTATTGACGAGAAAAGTCAACAACCCGTTATTGTGGAGATGGATGAAGGAGCACGAATTCGGGTGAGTAATCTCTCAAAGATATTTTGCTATGAATCGTCTACTGATTGCTTAAAAGTAAAATTGTATTTTAGGTGACACTCATCATAGACTTACTCCCGGAAGGTTTTCATGCCAGTCCTGGTGAGATCTATGAATCGGTTAATCAAGCCGTACACACATTAAAAGCTGTGTTGGATAGGAGGGTGCTAGATCTGCCCGTTCCAGTGGCTCAGCTATGGGTGGCAAATGATCCTTTGGCTCCTCCACCTGACAGCTCGTCACCTAAATTGCCTATCCTAGGTTCTAAAGATGCGATTGGGCTTTACATTGTTCTCTGTGTTCTTTCTGGAGGTATGTTCATTTGTCCTTACCCATATATTCCTCTGCATTCCGGTGAAACTTTAATACCAGTATAGAACGTATGTTTCTTTTATGGAGGTTGGGGGGGGGGGGTGTATTTTATAATGACTTGCTATTACTGCAGCGTTGACTAACTTAGTATGCTCCTAATAATCTCTCGGATCGAATGTGTCAAATTTTGAATAGTGAGAGTGCCTTTTTCATTACAAGTCTTTGAGAGTACGTTGTAAAAGTTTCTGAGAGCCAGTCCAGCCTGAAGGTTATGTGATGTAAAACGAAATTAATACGAGATGATGCGAAGGAAACAAAGAAAGACAAAGAAAGAAAAGTTATGTAAGTTTTAAGGGAGACTACTTCAAGTGAACTACTATTCGATTTACTAAAACACCTAACATCTTGAGCACAAACCAATAGCACTAAGCTGGCGTATTTTACGGGTTGATAAACTTCGGTAGGTGAACTAAATGGACATGTATTAGCCAATTTGCTCCTATATTAGTTGGAAAAATTAAGAACAAGAAGAAGGAGAAGCTCTAAGGATATTGGAAATCAAGTTTGATGAAGATGTTCTCACATTTAAACTTGTTTCATGCCAACCAAATTTATTTGATTGGTTGTACCTTTGGTAATACCACAGCACCAAATTGATGGGGAAATAAGATTTCGCTGTGGAATTATTAGTCCATAATATTAGTTGGTACCAACACTATTACCCCAAATATTTCTCAATCGTTTGAAGATTGCAAAGGCCATTTCAGACAGGTGAGAATCCGACAGACCGACACATACAACGAGCGTGTGGTATTCGAAGTGGGGTGGTGGGGGAGGGGGGAGGGGGGTGCGTATGTCCTTTGATGTCTTCCGAACTGGTATTTCAATATAATTAGCACACTGCATAACACACATTGCGTCATTAACCGTGTAAACTGGGTCTCGTTAAGTCAAATAACAAGTATTCCGGGCGGGGGGTGGGCGCATTAAGAAGCAAAAGCATTACTTCGTGCGGTGCTTTGAACGCAATGAATAGAGCAGAGCGTGCTTGAACCGATCAGACAAATCTTTCTTCTAACTTACTGAAAATTAAATAGTATAAGCTCTATCTATATCCGGGTCTCATCGTTGTTAGTTTAAGCAAATAGCGAATTTGATAATGACTGAGTCAAGAGATAATCATATACAGTCCCTTAAAGCTGTTGAATTGCAATTACCTTAGCTATTGCTATTTGAGTGCATAAATAGCCTTTAAGAGTCCCTTCACCGAAAAGGGCATTGTTGAGTTCTCCGATGCCATAATGGTCACTGAAAATTCAGATACTTTTTAAATTAAGACCTGGAACAAACCCCTTCATTCAGACAGTGTTTAACATATTTATTTATACCAAATGGCAGGCGTTTTGATAGTTATCATTAGCCCTTTGGTTGATTTCAGGCTTCACAGAGGGGAAGGAACATCAAAGTGAAAAAGTCGAGATAGGGGGGGAGGAATAGATGAGTGTTTCAAAGATGTAAAAGAGACAGACACGAAGGTAGAAAAAGGTGAGGTGAGAATGTGGAAGTGGTCGAATATGACATACAATGGGGTGATGGTGGTTTGAAGTCAGAAGTAAGAAGTCAACTGCCGGTTAATAGACTTTTTTGCCGTATGAATATACGTTGCCCAGGGTGCACCACGTGGAGGTAAGTCTATCGCACACCCCGTGTTTAAAATAATTAATGGGTAGAGCTTGTTAATTTCTAAACAAAAAGTTGCAATAAATTTTAAGCACACAGTTGCAAAAGTTGTAGATGTTGTTTTGAGAATTCATCACTCAAAATTAATGCGAGTCATCGGCAATGGCGGTTGATAAGACTGAATGTTTTTCGGTCATGGTTGGCTCAACGAAAATTTGCATTTATTTGCATTCAATTATGCTGTTGATACACCATCGGAAGCACCACAATCTAGGGTGTTTAAATTTGAGAAAGAAGTGAAGAACTGCGGTAAATTATGC